TATATATATATATATATATATATATATATATATATATATATATACTAAAATAAACTATTACTTACTACTTGTACTACTATTCCTACTTCGCGTTTTTATACTTATCGCAGGGCTTCAGGGTACGGATCCCCCGCGACAAACGAGGGACTACTGTATACGAATTTGTCCTACTTGCATCATTATATTATACCATGATGTTGTTTACCATGTATTTTTTGGACCTTGTAAATATTATATTTCATTTTCACTTTTGGTACTTGTTCCCTTATTGCATGCTTTAGTATTTTTTATTTTATTTTTTTTCTTTATTGAGTAGAATCGGTTCTTCTCTTCCTGAACATTTCATTGCATTGTTGACCTTGTGTTAACCTGTATATGACAAATAAACAGCAAAACAGACATTACTAACAAGAACAACTACATGACCAGACTTAAACTCTGTATGTTCATGTTATGCAAACCTATTTCTGTTTTGACTGAAAAATTTTCAGGGTTGTGGGCGGGTCAGTATTTTAGCAATAGCTAGAGGTATAATTACAAATTCTGTCCCTGTTGTTGTCATTTTTTTGAATAAAATAAAGAAGTCACTCCAGGCAGAAGATGATGAAAATTGCACTCTGTCGTTATGATGTTGATAAGCTAATGGATTTCATAAGCAACTAATGGGGGGCTGAATTAGTTTGACGGGGGCCCATTGAATGAGACAAAGCTACATGAGATCCCTGCTAATGCAACGTAATGGCTGATATGATTAGAAATGAGTATTTATTTCATAATGAATCACTTGGCTGCATGATGGGAGAGTTATTTTCTTTATTTGCATGGTTTAATGTATAATAATAATAATAATAATAATAATAATAATAATTTTATTTAAAAAGTGCCTTTCATGACACCCAAGGACACTTTACAGTAAGAACAAAGATCAACAGGAATAAAGAATATAAAATACATAAAGAATATAAAATACATACAGAATATAAAATGCGTAAAGAATATACAATACATACAGAATATAAAATGCGTAAAGAATATACAATACATACAGAATATAAAATGCGTAAAGAATATACAATACATACAGAATATAAAATGCGTAAAGAATATAAAATGCATACAGCAGAGTTAAGGATAAGCGAGTCTAAAGAGATGTGTTTTCAGAGCAGTCTTGAATAGAGAAAGAGAGGTGGTGTTTCTTAAGTCAGGGGGTAGAGAGTTCCAGAGATGAGGAGCAGAGCAGGTGAAGGCCCTTCTCCCCATGGTGGAGAGGCGGGCAGAGGGTACATGGAGGTGTAGTGAAGAGGAGGATCTGAGAGAGCGAGAGGGGATGGAGATGTGTAGGAGGTCAGATAGGTACGGAGGGGAAAGGTTGTGGATAGCTTTAAAAGTGAGAAGAAGAATTTTGAAGACGATGCGTGATTTAACCGGGAGCCAGTGGAGCTGCTGCAGGACAGGAGTGATGTGGTTATAGGAGGAGGTTTGAGTGATGACACGGGCAGCTGAGTTCTGGACCAATTGTAGCTTCTGGAGAGATTTGTTGGGGAGGCCATAAAGAAGGGAGTTGCAGTAGTCAATCCGAGAAGTCACAAGACTGTGAACAAGGATGGCTGTGGAGCGGGGTGTGAGAGAAGGGTGGAGACGGTTAATATTTCGGACATGGAAATAGGCAGACCGAGTGACGTTGTTGATGTGTGAAGTGAAGGAGAGAGTGGTGTTGAGGATGACACCAAGACTCTTGACCTGAGGCGAGGGGGATAGCAGGAGTTGTTAAGGGGGATGAGAAGATTTTCTGATTTTGAAAGAGAGTTCAAAATCATATTGGTATTTATGACCACATAGGGTTGTTCCTCTTTCAGCTTGCTCAGTCAAGGAATGAACAAAAACCATTTAGGACTGACCTGGATTGTACAGTCCAGGATTTTAGCAAGAGATCCTTTAGAACATGTGGGTTGTGTGGTTTCAGTAGATTTGGTTTGCTTCCCACAGTTGGCATCAGATAGATATTTAGAGCAGTGTTTCCCAACACATTTCTCGAGGAACTGCATGTTTTAGTTGTTTCCTTGCTCCAACACACCTGATTCAGTGATTTAATTACATCCTCGAGTTCTGTAGAAGCCTGTCAATCACCCATTCATTCAAATCAGGTGTGTCAAAGCAGGGAAACAACTAAAACATGAAGGATAGTGTTCCTCAAGGACAAGGGTTGGGAACCACTGATGTAGAGGATTAGTAGAATAGGTGAACACCTCAAAATCTTTGTACATCTCAAAAGCAGGCAATGTTGAGTGTATTTACTGTCTTAGGAAGGCCTCTGAATGATATACAGAGCGGGTTCAGTCCACATTCAGTTTCACATTGTCCAGTTTGGTCAGATCCATCTCTGTGCATATACATTTACATACAAAACAAATTTTTAACACAAGTTAACATTTTGGTAAACTTCTTTTTAAAATTCTTTTTACTTTCTCGGTTTTTACGTTTTTGTTTCATCTTCTCTATTGTTTGTATGTTTGTTTGTGTGTGGATCTGTAAAAACAACTAAATAATGCAAATCAAATCCTATGCCATGCTATATATGTGTGTGTGTGCAACATTTCTGTTTCACCAACGGCATGATACCTCCACATCCATGATAAAGTGTCAGTGTAAATAATTAACCGGTATCCTTTAAACCAACTTCAATGTACAAACATTTATCTAACCATCAGTTTTTCCTCCTGAAGTCTGTTTGCTGCCATGGTTAGCTGCAAGCCTCAGTGGAGGACGAGCGCAATGATATGCTTGGAAAACGGCTTTTGTCCTACCTTTTACTATAGGGAGGAGACCCCACTATACTGAACAATTATCAACTCATCTCCAGACTTTGTATTCTAGCTAAGCTTTTAGAAAAACTTATAAACTCTCAAGTCAAGAAGTATTTGGATTTTTTTAACATCTTACCTCCCCATCAGTGTGGTTTCAGGAAACAACACAGCACGACGACTGCTTCACTTAAGGTTTTTAATGTTGTTGAAGCACTGGATGCTAAGGATTACTGTGCTGCACTTTATTTAGACCTGTCTAAAGCTTTTGATACTGTGGACCATGACATATTATGTCATAAGCTCTCAGAAATTAGTTTCTCAGACCGCACTATTGGTTGGTTCTCTAATTATCTCAGATCGGAGGCAATGTGTTCAACATAACAGTACTTCTTCCAGCTATCTGTCACCAGTGGTGTACCACAAGGCTCAGTCTTAGGACCCACCCTCTTCACAATCTACATAGGTAATGTAGGTCAGATCATTCCTGATGCATCCTTACATTTCTATGCTGACGACACACTTGTTTATTGTCGAGCTAGAACAGTTGATAAGGGTTTTAAGCTCTTACAGTCTGCATTCGACATCATCCAGTCAGATTTGTTCCGTCTCCAACTGGTGCTAAATGCTGATAAAGCCAAAGGGATGTTGGTTTCAAACAGGAAGTTTGTACCAGCAGTCCTTCCTTCTATCTTATATACGAATGGTGTTCTTATTGAGTTTGTCGATTCTTACTAATACTTGGGTATCTTGGTCGATTCACATCTCTATTTTAAGTCTTGTGTCAAAAACTCTGTAAAGAAATTGAAAGTAAGACTGGGTTTCTTTTATTTTAATAGATCCCGTCTAACTCTGAATGTTAGGAAACAGCTTGTAATTGCTACTTTCCTTTCCTTCTTTCACTACAGTGACATTATTTACTTGAACGCTCCTACAGCCACCCTGCAGATGTTGAATGCTGTCTATCATGGTGCACTAAGATTCACACTGTATTTATTAATAAATACAGGGTCACCATTAACTTCACACAGCCTCTCCCACTGCTATATTTTCATCTATAAATCACTTCTTGGACTGTTGCCTTCATATATCCTCCTATATGTCACGTTGTCAGTGCAGCTACAGTGTGCACTCTCAAGACATCATTACCTGCAGCGTCCCCTCAGTGTGGACCGAATTTGGCAAAAAGGCCTTCTCCTTCTCTGCTCCTGTAACCTGGAACGCCTTGCAAAAAGATCTGAAGCGGTCGACTTTGATCTCTCTAAGTGATTTTAAACAACCGTTAAGTTCATTGCAAAAATCAACGCAGACGTGTTCCCGTTTTCATTATTTTACATCGTTTTATAATCTAGCTTGTTTTTGTTTATTTTCTGTATCATTTCTTTTATTTACTTTTCATTTTATATGCTTTTGTATGATTGTCTATTGTTGTCTGTTCCTCATCTGTTTTTTGATTAAAATAGGTCTCTCTTGTAAATGAGTTCTTGTGACTCAATGAGACTAACCTGCATAAATAAATGTTGAATGAATGAGACTGACCATTTTTGTGTAAAGGCAAAAATAAAATAAAAATAAATAAAAATCATTGTCAGAAATAGAAATTCTCAAATTATGGAAGACAACATTATCATATCAAACCTTCATGTTTGCAAAGATAAAAATGATAAAAAAAAAGGATTTATCTCCTCCCAGGTCCCAATGAAATAATAACTTGCTATTCACTCAAACTCTTGTTCGAATTACGTGTCGTTAGGTTCGTCTTGGTTCTAATCAGATGAAAGGTGAAGACGGTGGGAAAGATGCTTATGTAACAGCAATCTTACACAAGCTAATCATTGCCAGCGTTATCATTAATAGAAATTATGATTGAAAAATAGTCTAAATTGTTTTATCCTCCATTTGTCTCTGAGCCATAAGAACCTGTATGTTTTCTGCAGGGGAAGGAGACGACAGAGGAGGAGGATGAAATCGCAGTGGGGATGGATAAAGGCTTCATGGACGAATTCTTCGAACAGGTTTGTTTCACACACAGTCCCAATGTCTCCTCTGGTCATCTCTCCTTGTTTAACTGGGTGGAGAGAAGCTGCCACCATGAATTAAAGCTCAGATCATTTGGTCATCAGAACACTGCAACCAATCTCGTGTTGTTTTCTGTTGGCTGATGATGCTGCCACCTCTGATGGAGGAGTTAAGACGAGTCTTGTTCACCACTGATGGTAGGATGGAGATGATTGATGAATCGGGACCTTGTTCTCAGTAATGAGGCCGTCGCTTCAATCGGTGGTGGTGAAGAGAGAGTTGAGTCGAAAGGCAAAGCTCTCGATTCACTAGTCTGTCAGTGTTCCAACCCCCACCTCACCCTCAGCCTTAGAGACAGGGTGAGGAGTAGAGCTGCTGCTCCTCTGCATAGAAAGGAGTCCATTGAGGTGGTTCGGCATCTAATTAGGATGCCTCCACCCTTTGGAGGCTTTTCAGGAATGTCCCACTGGGAAAAGACCCCATAACTCACTGGAGGGATTACACAGTATATCTTCCTGGCCTGGGAGCACCTTTGGGTGCTGCAGGAGGAGCTGTAAGGTGGTGCTGGGGAGAGGCATGTCTGGGTTTCTCTCTTGGACCTCTTGCCTCCGCTACCTGACTAAGATGGAGATGATGCTGTCAAATGTGGTATGCATCAATATGCATTTTATTTCTTTTGAAAAGGCCGTCATTGATTGTGTTAGTCTCACTAGTGATCTTTTGTTTTACTTTTTCCTGTACAGTTATTCTTGTACACAGTTGCTTCAGTATATGTACGTTTAGGAGATCTTTTTTGCCAGAAGCACAAACTGATCATCTTTGCGTTCTCTCAGAGAGGGAGGTCTATTTTATAGTATGCAGTTGGGATCTCTGGAGAGATGGAGGCCCACTGTGAGTCACTGGTCATACAGAATCATGCTGACTGTACTTTATCACATCTTTAATGCCTTTTTAATGGACTCTATCTCCCTCGGTGAGCTAAAAGTAAAAAGTGCTATTATTCAGATTTGGTTAGACTTTTACTGAAGCGTTCAGTCTCAATCATTTATCTTCTTATATTTTATGCGTCCATATACACAAATGTGCATGTCATTTAGCGTACATAGTTTCTTTACCTTTTGATGTTCTTCAGTTATGGATGGAAATGCTGTTCTAAAGGGAGATGAATCATCTGAGGTTGAATGCCTTTTAACATCATTTGTGATGGAGGAGGGCTGGAGAACAGCACTTTGATATGGGTTTTCAAAGCAACATCAGACGAACACAATGGAAGAGAAGAGCATTTCAGCCGAGCTCCATGTGCTTCTGTGCATATACTTAAAATGAGACAACTTATTTAAAAATATATATCTTGCATGTTGGGAGCTTGAGAGTTTATATTTACCGGTAGATACTCAAAAAGTTATTTTAAAAGAAAACTCAACCATCTTAAACAGTGTTGTGTTTAAATGAAGGTCGTTGTTCTGGTCTGTTGTGGTGAAAGAGTTGAGTCTGCACCTCACCGTACCCTGGTGTTGTTTTTATTATTATTGTTTTTAAAGCACAATAGAAACAAACGCTCTGATTGCGAGGCTTTAAAATCGATGGGTTTGATTCTTATGAAAGAGACGCACATGACTAGTGTTTCTCTCTGGCCATTCAATGGTCTGCAGTCTTCTTCTTTTGGCTGCTCCCTTCTTCAGGAGTCGTCACAGCAAGCAAACTCACACAAAGATTTAGCAGTTGTTTTAACGCCTAGGAGAACAGATGTTGGGGGTTAAGGGCCTTGCTCAAGAGCCCAGAGTGGGACAAATGAGGGTGGAGGCAGGTGTGGGTGCTTCACCTTTCCAACCCACACTTGATGGAACAGTGAAGGGATTCAAACCGGCAATGTCCCAATCACAGACTTTCCTTCAATAACCTCTGTGGACCTGCAGTCTGCTAACATTGACTTGACTCAACCTTGTCTGAGTAGCTTACAGTATATAAGGACCAAGCTGGAAGTGGGTGGAATCACCCAATAGACTACGGATCAACATCAAGTTGACCCCCGCCCAAGGAAAAGACCTTGTAGCCTCTCTAGTCTTGGAGCCACTTGGGGCTCTTCAGGAGGAGCAAGAGGGGAATGTCTTTTCCTCCTTCCTGTTGCCTTCACACCCTGATCACAAAATAAGCATCTGTAAATGAAATAAAACGAAACAGTTTTCAGTCCTACACCCTGACTTTAGGCATTTTGAAAATAAAATTAAAATTTCCATCATTTGTGTTTTAATGATAAAAATTGTTTACAAATGCCTAAAGCCAGGGTGTAGGACTGAAAACTGTTTCGTTTTATTTAATTTACAGATGCTTATTTGTGATCAGGGTATGAAATGTTGCACGCGCCACTCACTGTACACAACTCCCACAGCATGGTTCATCCGCCCCCATGCCTGCATGTTGGAGAGGTGCCTTATGTTTTTCATTCTCCAATTTTGATGTCCTCTGAGAAAACAAAAAGAGGTTGCAGTAGTACATTTTCATCCAGTTGGATGAATTTCAGTCGCGAAACAAGTTTCACGTTTGGTACAGTGTAGAGACAAATGCCTCACAGTTAACCCAGTGCCACCTTTTTAAATCAAAAATTCAAAACAAAAGTTTAAAATAATTAATTTTAACGCATGAAAATGTAAATCTCTGTATTTTTTTTTGTTCATTTGATATCTCCCGCCCTCAAACTGTCTGCTATCATATTAACGTACTTTCCGCTGTACACGTCGCACCGCCATATAAGTCACATCAGTCCAAATACAGTATGCCTAATAAAGTGGAGAAAAGAAAGTAAAATAAGTTGCTTCGGCGATTGAGTCACATTTATTATGTGTCACCGTTGACGCGTCACGTTTGTTATGCATCACTGCTGACCACCCGGAAACATGGGCCGATGTTGTTCCAAAAATCGATTGGCTGCCAAATGACTGCCGCGGGAGCGTGCACGGGAGGACTTTAACAAGAATTTAACATGATTAACACTTAAAAACAATTGCTTGTTTACTCAAAATTATAGCAAATGTGTCTCAGTTCAGCTTTTCCTTAATAAACGCATTTTACCGGTCAAATCAGCTGCATTTCAAAAATAGATTTGCGGCTGCGGGAGCACGGAGGGGGAGGACTCGCTGTGCATTTCATCGAAATTTAACAAGATAACCACTTAAAAACAACCATTTGTTTGCTCGACATTATAGCAAAGATGTGTCTCAGTTGAACTTTTCCTTAATAAATACACTTTAATGATCAAATCAGCTGCTTTTCTCCTGGGCAGCGCAACAAAATGCAGCTGATTTGACATTTGCTCCAGGAGTTCGGGAGCGAGACGAAGGTAGCTCCTTATGGCAAGCCAAGTGTCTCATTAATAGCCACTTTTACCTACTAATGAGACACTTGGCTTGCCATAATACTCGAGCGCCCTCTAGCTGCTGAAAATGGTAGTGTTCATTATTTTTCATGTCAGAATGAATGAAATCGTCAGATCTCAGCCAAAAATTGGGTTATAAATATGGGGAAAAACCATAAACAAGTCGCTTCGCTCTATAATCGCCGGACATGCTAATTTATGCAAAAAGGTGCGACTTATACAGTGAAAAATACGGTATAGAAGTTCAGCCTTTTTTTTTTTTTGAGAAATTTTAAAGAAGATTCAGGAATTAAAAAAGGCAGAAAAATCAATTTAAGGTTGAGGTAAAAGTTGAGTAAACCCCACTTCAACAAGAGAACAAGGTGTACCGTAAACGGTTAAGATGCGTAGCAGCAATGAAGAGCGGATGATGTGAGCCGAGTGAGTCTCACTTTGATGGTCTGTCTGGGTTCAAGGAGGTTTGAGTCCAGACCTCTGCAGCCTTCTGTCCTCTCCTCCTGACGCTCTGACCCTCGGAGGGCCGGGGCTGGGTTCATAATGTTCGTGGCATTTGTGTAAAACATGAAGGAAGCTGTGTCTGCTTCAGCACAGCTTGAAATATGTGTGCACGTGTGGATGTAATTGCCTTTTATTGCTTCTGGAAAAGAATGCAGCGTTCTATAATTGTTGAAAGGTTCTGTGAAGAAAAAAATCAATGTGATTTTTTTTTTTTTTCAACAAGTAAAGCCTGGAGACTCAATTATTCTCTGGTCCACCATGAGACATGTCCTTTTTTCATCAGATTATTTTTTTAAATCCAAAACTGATCAAATATAAACAGGGCATGGGCGAGCATTCTTTTATATCCTGCCACCATTAAAGGTGGGCAATCATTTAATTTTCTTTGTTTGTGTTTGTCTTTCTGACTGTTAGCAAAATATCCCATGAACCAGCAAAAGGATTTTAATGAAACTCTCTGAAAGTTGCCATTGGACAAACCTCTACAACTGAAAACTGTTTGAACTAAACCCTATTCAAGATGGCTGGTGCAGACAGGTCATCGTATCAAACACAAAAATAACTAAAGCTCTATTAATTTAACAGATACTGAGCTGAAATTCAGTTCAGTAGTAGCTGAGAGTCATTCCCAACACACATTCTGAGCACTACGCAATTCACAATATTATTGCTTAAATCTTTGTCATTAAGTGCTGCTGTCAACCACGTTTGTCTGTTAGCAAAATATCTCATGAACTACTGGACTAAGTTTAGTGAAACCACCAGCAAGCATTCATTGGATGTTAATTTACAACTCTTTAGCATTTCAATTCAATAAATTTTATTTATCGGTATATAGCAAGTTGTCTCAGGGCACTGAACAGAAAGATTCACTTGCATAAAAATCAGTTAATAACAATATTTATCTAAGGAGCCAGCAAACTGCTTCAAGTTCATTTGGAGTCAACCCAATTCAAAATGGCTGCCACAGCTAAACCAAATTAGCCAAGACAAAAATGACTGTAACTCCGTTACTGAGCTAAATTATGATGTGGTAATAGTGGAGAGTCATCCATATTTTATTCTGTGAATGCTAAAATATCCCGTGAGATGTGACATTTCAAAAGAGATTACACAAAACATCTT